TCGGGAAGAAAATTATTCTAAGCGGACAGCGGGTGAACAAAGAGTGAATATATAGCGGGAGTGGGTGGGTGCGGAATAGAACCTTGCGGGAGCGGGACTAAAAAAACAGTTCCGCGCAGACCTCTAGTACAATGGGTTGTGAATGCCTTAACAAGTTGACTTTAAGTTGTTCCTTTCTAAACATTTAAAAGTGAAATGGGATCATTTGTGAACGATGCAACTGCTTACTTGCACTTCCTGCTCCATTGAGCGGTAGTAATCAGTGTGAACAACCTAATCCTGCTCTCTATGGACCAGACTTAATGAACTCACCCAAACTTTAGCTTGTGAGGGTTTACTCGGGGTGTTTCACGAAAAACTTGTAGAAAGGCCGGCTACATATTGATGACAGTCCCTGAAAATTCATGCCAACAAAAAGCCAACTGTTATTGTTCAGCATTCTCTTCAAAGTAGTTATTGCAGGCTTTAGGTTTGGTCTGAGCGTAAGGCTATTTTGTGAGTTATTGTCTCATGATTATTTTTAAACCATAATGACTATATTCTTGTTAATTTAAGACCTGTTGTCTCTGTTTATTTAAATGAACTAGCATAGATTGGGATCACAGGGTCAGTCATGCAGTGAGTGATCTATCTTTGATTGGCATGTTGCTCTGATGATTGACAGGGTTGATATTCCAGATGGGTTGCTGTTGCCCAGAGAAAGAAAGAAAGGGTTGTATCCTGCTTCTAGTAATGGATTGACATTAAGATTAAAGTTTAGGAATTCCCCTTTTTCCTCCCATTTAATTTCCTTTCCTACTGTAACTCAAACCTCCCTTTAAACTTTGTTTTAAACCTATTGATCTTTGTCTGATCTTCATCTTAGATAATACACCTTCAGTAGTTTAGAGTTTCCAGCTTTTGTTCACAGTTGATTGGTTTTCCTAGCTCATTTATTTATTTTTTGTCAGGTATTCTGCAAGATGGCCCTTTCTGTCCTTTCTTCAGTGAGAGTCAGGCCCTAAATGATGCATATCCATCACACAGCCCTGTTTTCACGGGATATTCATCTTGAATTTTCATCATGTCCGTATTGATTCTAAAGGCTTCCTTCTGCATTCTTCTTTGAGCTTTTTATTTTTCTCCCCATCCTCCCCTCCTCGACCTCTCTCTGTTGATTCTGCAATTGGAGTTTGGACTTGTTTAACTTTCAGACAAACTGTTTATTCTTGTCTGCTCATGCTCATCCTAAATGCCCAATTTTATTTTTCTTAGGTTTTCAGAGTCTGTTTCACTGTTCTTGTTTCACCCCCAATGAGAAACAAAAGATCTGTTGCTACTTCTGTTACATTATGAAATCGTAACCTCTATTCCTCATATAACCGTCTAACGATCTCTCTATATGAAGGAGAATGCAATCCCATGTTGCATTGTGACAAGCTCAGTGAAAAAATACATTCAAGTTCAGTACTGAAAGTGTGAATAAACAAAACTGGAAGTAGATCGTTTTCTTCTAATCAGTATTTGTGTATGTGCCATGCATTTTTACATTTTTAAATAATTTTTGTAAATGGTTTCACCCTTTTAGCTTTGCAACATGTTAACGCCAGACTCTATTGAAATATATTGAGTCACATCGTCTGAGTCACTGTAATGTAGAGTGTTCCAAATTAGTAAATTATAAGGTTTCATAATAGTTAGAGTACTAACTTTGAAGGCAGCTGCCTGTATGCAGTAGGCAATTAATTTGGAACAGAGAAATAAACTGCACTGTCTAGTAAACACAGACTGACTATGTGGGTTTTGTCTAAATGAGAGAGGAGGACAGAGAATGAGAGATCTAAACATTCATCCCCTCAACTGGGACAGAGCCAATTACAACTAAAGCACCAGACTCAGGATATGCGACAGACAACGGCAATAATATTACATTTCACTCTCCCTATTTACTTCAGTGTCAGATGCCAGCCAGATGACCTTATATACTTCCTCTAATGAAGTTACTGTCCTTAGTTTACATCTGCTAATGGAAAAACACGATATTTTATTACTGGAGAGACGACTTTGGCCTATTTACATTACCAGTCTCTGTTTATTATAATAGCAGCGGCGAATGTGATATCAAAGATTGGCTAATACCTTTGTTTTAGCATTCTTCTAGCTATTGCTAACAATCTGACTGGATGATTATTATGTGCCTTGCATGTGATTCACTCATAATCATATGTTTTGACTGTTTTCTGTCATATTTTTTAGGGTTTGGTAAACTCTAAGTTGTTGTTGGCCAATGATAGCTAGGGAGTATGTACTTAACACTAATATAACTAGTGGGCGTTAATTACCCACGTCAACCAAAGGAAGACCAGCTGTGTTTTTGTTAGACACACATTAAGAAGTGTTTTTTTTTTGTTTATTTTGGGTAAACTTCTGAAATCCCAACCATGAGACCGCAGTTAGGCTTCACCTTCACATGCCGACGTTGCCGTAGAGGTGCTTGGTCTTCACCTTTCCCAGCATTCTGATTGGATGAGGTAGGTAATGCCTAGACACGATTTGAAGGTGACTCATGCTTCTGTGTCTGTTAATGTTGGAAGACAATGGGCTCCATACACAGAGGCCCCCGGTGGGGAGGGCCAAGCATGCTCCAACGGTCTCAGCCCAAACTGCTGATTAACACCGGCCTGAATCTGAGAAAGCACATGGAATGCTCTTCGGCTTGCCTGGTATGCAGGTGTATTGTCTGATTTCTTTCTCTGTACATTGGTGCTAGCTATATTGACAGACGTGGAGGGGATTTGCACTACATTGTCCTCTGTTTGAATAATGTCTTATCCTTTTCAGCAAGATAAATCTTTAAAATGAAAAACACTTTTACATAATTCACTCTTTACTCATGGTGCACCAGGATCCTACACCAGGTTTAACTAGTTAACCAGAGAACTTTAACCCCTGGCTGCTTTAATACTGTAGTAGAAAATTTAATTAAAAGTTTGATTTCAGTTGGACCAAAACAAAGTCATTAGTCCGACTAAAATTTTCTCAGATGATTTCAGTCAATTGAAAATACATTGTACAATTTTGTACCTGGGTCAATCATTCATTTGATGAAAAGTTGAAAATACATTGTACTGTTGTGTTCTGTTTGGCATGCTATACTTTTTTCATTTGATGACACTTTGAAAATGACAGACAGTTGTGTACTTGGTTGTTGATTATTCCATTTGAAAAAAAGTTGAAAATATGTCTCTTTAAAATGTTCAAGTCGACCAAAAAATCTCAAAAACGGAGCTTTTAGATATGACGCCCAGCCTTAGGACAGCATGACATATTGAACTTCTGTCTTTCACAGACTCGTTTTTGTCAAATTAAAAATGATGTCTAGTGTGACTTGCTGTCACTAAAAGAAACGCAGCCTCTGTCTGTGAAAAATCAGAGCCCAGCCTGTGTTTTTAGCGCTGACTAAGGAAAGCTAGTAAAAATTCTTTGGATAATGATGAGTCTGCTTTATGCCTGGAGCAAAGTTCAGTTCCCATCACACCCCACTGCCAAGTGTCTCTCTCCATTGCTTATCCACTCTCTCCTCTGATGTTCTTCCGTCTATGTTGACGCCCTCTCTCTCCCTCCTACTTTCTCTCTCTTGTAATTACTGTTTAAGCATTGACCTGCATGTTGGAAGTTGCCCTTAATTTTCTGTTTCGTAGCATGTCTGTGCATGTGTTCTGCATGAGTTGGCGAAGTGGAAACATGAATGTCTCAAAGCAAGCTAACATTACTCTGGAGTCACATTTAATTTTGTATTCCTGGTAAAGACGACACCACTCCCTGCGGAGAGCTTAAAGAAATGCTTTCCAAATGGGTTGCAAGCATTGTGTTTTCTTAATTAGTGGTGTTTGCCAAGACAAGTATGACTACATTTATTGCTCGTACTTAATGTTAGGGATTTGAAGAAACCCCTAACCCTAAATATTAAACTCTCATGTGTTGTTTATGCTGCACCTGTGGTGCAATGTACCTGAATGAGAAATCAAATAGCTTGTTGAAGAGAGAAGTATTATTACTTTTCTAAGCAATAAGATACTAGTGTACTCGCAGATTAGTATCTTATCTTATTCCACAGACTCTTTAAAGGGGTCATGTGATGTTGCTAAAAAGAACATTATTTTGTGTATTTGGTGTAATGAAATGTTTATGCGGTTTAAAGTAAAAAAAAAACATTATTTTTCACATACTGTACATTATTGTTTCTCCTCTATGCCCCGCCTTTTTGAAATGCGTCGATTTTTACAAAGCTCATCGGTCTGAAAAAGCGAGGTGTGCTCTGATTGGCCAGCTATCCAGTGCGTTGTGATTGGCCGAATACCTCAAGCTCTTTGGATTTGAGACTTTAGTCTTTGCAACTTTACAGATCTTCTTTATGCACCAAGAGCTTGTAACACTCCAAAGTGCTACAAAAATTGAAATCGCATCATATGACCCCTTTAAATACCATTTACCAATTTAAATACCACATATTTTACTTTTTTCTTTTTAATCTAGATTTGATCAGAGTGATGTCTGATATGTGAATGGCCATATATACAAGGTGTTGGCTGTATAAATATTGATGCTTTTTATTTCAGGAGAGTGCAGATATCCTGCATCCATTTGCTATCATGGTGTTTGTTAACACTTAGCACTCTGGTCTTATCTTAATTAAATCGGCTGTCTGCATACATTGCCTCAGTTATGATAATCTGACGAATGTTTCCAGGCGGCTACGTTAGTATCTTGATGAGTGGTCCCTTTCAATAAAACTTTAACCCAGTCTGCCTGCCTACTTTCTCCTGCTCGCATTCCCTCAAGTGCAGCTATGACAAAAATACCCAGATTGCTTTCCAATTAAATGTTAATGTTGTTATCGTTCAGCTGTAACTTGTAGAGTGGTAGCGTAATGTGATACAGTGTCCTTTGTGGAACAGTGTTTCCTTTTGCTTCAGTTCATATGCTGACGTGCTCATTAGTGCTATTTTCAGAAATGAACCTGCGGACAATAAATAGTTTTATGCTATTAAAGAGAGCGTTCAGCAAAAAATGAAACTTCTGCTATCATTTACTCTAATTTCGCTTTAAACCTGTATGACTAGATTTCATCTGTGGAACACACATTTCTCAAGTGTTATTTTTTTTTGTCTGTACACTCTTAGAAAAAAAAAAAAAAAGGTACAAAGCTGTCACTCTGGGGCGGTACCCAAAGGTACAAAAGCTAAAAGGTACATTAGGTTAAATGTGTTTGTGTTCCACAGAAGTTATACAGGTTTGGAATGACACGAGGGTGAGTAAATGATGACAGAATTTTCATTTTTGGGTGAACCATCCCTTAAAAAACAGGCATTCATTGATAAAGGCTGAATGATGTCTGATTTTTATCATCTGATTTTTATGTAAGATTATAATAGTTCATAAAAGTACAGTGTCCTAGTTTTTGGTTACCCCACAACCCTGATCCTCGATTGGTTTTCTCCATTCAATATCAAACTTTATTAATAGCTAAGTTAAAATTATTAACAGCTAAGTCAGAGCTGACCCAGAAGCAGCTCTGCCAAACCCACTGGATCCCACCTTTTATAGCTTTCATCCATGTCCTCTGGAGCGGAACATCTCCTTCAGAACTGTCAGAATATTTCCCCTAACCTCTAAATGGAAGTCTAACTCCCCAAGGTGCAACTTCTCAAGCCATCCTGCAATAGCTCCACCAGGGTTATTGTTTCAAAAAGCTGGGTTCTCGTAGCCTAAGGGGGAATTGGCCAGCCACATTGGTGGTTTTCTCATGAAAAAAAAAAACATTACTTGGCCCAAAGGCATTCGGTCTCTTTTTCTCTATTTTTCTTTCTGTCTCTATTTTTGTTTTCTTTTCTGTCTTTTTTTTACTCTGGCATTTTTATCGCACATTAATGCTTATATTCTTTATTGAAGCCAGTGTCAGGGTGGTACATGTACAACTGAAGAGGATGACCAGTTCTACTATGGCAATTACACTACTACTATGGCAGTCGGGGAAAATTACCTAGCAACATCACAATGGCCTAATTATTATTCTTTCTTTTTTTTATAAAAACAAAAATTAAGGAGAACATTAAAGAACATCTACACAAAACTTAACAATCAGGAAGAGGTGAAAAACATAAAAAAAAAAAAATCAACAATGTAAAAAAAAAAAAAAATGTTGAATACATAATGAATACATAAAATGATACATTAATTCAAAATAAATAAATAAACAAATAAATAAAATAAGATAGAAAACATTTACCAGTAAAAGAAAGTACATCTCATTGATAAGTATCACCAATCAGCTAGTATAGCTACTTTGCTAATTTACAAAGAAAGCCCTCTGTTTGTGTGTGTGTGTGTGTGTGTGTGTGTGTGTGTGTGTGTCAGCAGGTCTGATGGGTTTATGAGGAAATCTCTCCAGTCGGCTCTATTAGGTCACTGCCAGGCTGTAGATAGAGATCAGCATTCCACTCCCTCATTTATATGCAAATGAGGATTGACGTCAGCTGACCGCCTTTGTAAATGTTCTTGTGTTATTTAAAAAAAAAGTAAATGTGTAAGAGTAGTTGTATGTGTATTAGAAGGTGAAGTTATAATGGACGCCATGGTGTTTACATCTGTAGGTTTTGTGGGCATGTTTTGGTTGTTATTTTTAAGGTCTTAGGACTTCTTACTGTCTGTACCATTCTTTTATGCTGCGGGAGAGCAGTGCTGTGGAATGCATTAATCACTGACGTCTAATTCTCTCTCTCTCCCTCTCTCTTTCTCTCTGTCTAAAGCAATGGGCTCCAACCGGAGCCAGACTGTTTAGGCTGTTTCACTGCCTGCAGAGAGTGAGGGTTTGTGTGGAAAGTGTGGCCCAAATACACAGTCACACGAAGAGAGGAATATTGTGACATTCTTTAATCTCGGTACATCTGTCACTCTGTGAGCCAAGCCAAACAATAGGTGTTATTCATGTTGAATTACACCCTAATCAAGATGGGCGTTCCACGCTTTAACACACATGCACTTTGCGGATATCGCATCTGAATTCTACTAGACTTTTTTTGGTAATTTTAAATAGGGACGCTAATGATTAATCAACGTTTAATTGTTGTTAATAATTAAAATGCTTAAGCTTTTTGTTTGACTAGTCAATTTAAGAAGAATCAGCACACTCGTTAATATTATACAATCACACAAGCTGTGGCAACACAGGCACACCCTTAATTTAGTTATTAGGCTTTGCATATTCAGGTGTTAGAGCATTGCGTTATAATTAACAGTTGCATTGACTGCAAACCAGGGCTGTGCGATTAATCGAAATCGTCATAAAATCGCGATTTGAAGTTGCGCAATTTCTAAATCGCTTTATAGCACGATTTTCCACGCCCCCGACCTCCCGCAGTATGCTATCCGAACTAATCAGAATGCAGCGCGCCTAAATGGAGCATGAGAACAGAACAGACCGGGCGGGCATACAAACGTAACGCCAGGTTCACACACTCCGTCTGTGGTGCGTATTTTTTCCGTGCCCATGTTAACGGATCAGAGCGTTCACACTGCACGTGATTGCGGTCCGGCAGTGCGCTCCAGGAGCGGTGCGTCTGCAGCAGTCATGCTGCAATCGTTTCCGCACGGAATCTATTTCTGCTGTGCTACACGCGCTGAATTAGAGTGACAAAGCATTATTCGCGGTAAAAATGAACAT